ATCAAGCTCAATGCTTTTTTCAGACAATATATTTGAGAGCAACATAACAAAAAAACATCTTTTATTTCACATCGAAACATCCAGATCAATTGACTTAGACTTTAGTTATCACTTGTATTTGAGATAAGCATAATTTAAAGACCATACTAGATCTCTGATTAGTTCTAAATATTATAGTCAAAATGAGTGGACAAAATTCAACAATTTTCGACTTTCTCCTTCTTTTCCTTATAGGAGATAACACGATAATATACATGTTCAGTGTTAACAATCTATTAAAATTTCGAAAATAGCAATAAAGATTCGTTTTGTGATTCAAGTAGAACATTCAATAGCGCATCTTTTGAACGTGAGAGTCGAGAGGAAGACGATGACTCTCCGGAAGATGAAATCTAGATAGAACACTGCTTTAATCTTTATTCATCATTGTTGTTCAAAACATAAAGATTACATGACTATTCAAATATTGAATAACATCAAGATACATTGAAATTTCTTAAAGATTTATTTGTGCTTACATACCCAAATGAGTTAGTTCTAGAAAAAAAAAAGAAACATAATTTTCATTTGTGTATCAGCAATTCATCTATTCAAATCTGAATAATCTTCATTGAAAATATCTAATATGATTTACTAATTATTTATTATCTAGAAAAAGATCATTTCTTCATCATCCAAATTAAAACTACTTATCAAAAACTAAAATGAGATTAAATAAAAACGTAAACAAAAGAACAAATGAAATGTTTTAATGATTAACATGTTGATCAAGTTTTAATATTTAAAACTAATCACGTGTATGAAGTTCAATAGTGCCCTTTGATGAATTTTTATATTAATTGTTAAAGTAGTAGATTCATCGGAAATAAGACCTAATGTACATAAACGAATAATATTTTAAATGAATATTCAATATGGATATATTTACCTTTTACTCAAATAATTCTATCTTTTCGTATTGTCTGTCAATGAAAATGTTCAGCATCGTCAGATGCTTGTATACGTTTACCGACAAGATCTAATCGAACACCTACTGTATCTATTACACTCATATCAACATCAACTTAACCAATACAATTTTTTTTGCAAGAAAACAAAAAGAAATTCAAACCTTGTTGTCTGTGTATACTTGCTAAATCAGTTGCTGTAAAAAATAACATTCGCCTTGCTTTGTTTTAATCTAGAAATATTAAAGAAAAAAATATAACAAATAATATCCATTGACGTTCTTTTACATGTACACTAAGACAATGAAGATATTCAACTTTAACATTATTATTGTCTGTACAACTAACATCAAGTTCTGAATAATGGTGAAGTAGGTAATGCACCAAAAAAAGAACGCCACGGTTGTTTTAGAAGACTCGATAACCATTTCAAATTTGGATAAGCAGCCAAAGCAACTGTACGAGAAAGGCAAATCATTGCATATCTAAAAAGGTATTCGATCTTTACACTTTACCATTAATAATAATAATAATAAGCGGCAAGACAAGCAAGAAAATTTTGATAATAGTAGTGAAGCAAAAAACAATTTGGAAGAGGAGTTCAGTCCTGGTTTGAAGCTGAAAAGCAGGTAGGGTGTCAAGTCGCTTTTCAATTGAGGCGATGCTCATTTGATGAGTACTAATGAGTAAGAGAAAAATATAAAATGCTTTGGTTTCCCAAGCCATTGTTTTTGAGATATCGAAATTTTACTAGGTTTTTCAAAAAAAAAAGCTTTGATTCCCTCAGGTCACATGAAAAATCAACTTTTGACTTCAAACTTTGCACAGATAAAGTTCTTTATGGAATTTGTTGATTATGCAAGTTATAAATTTTCTAGTATCTCCTATCCTAAGATATTGAATATTCGAAATTTTCTCATATGTAAAAGAAACGGAGAGGCGCATAAGAGTTGTCTTAGACTTCCAGCCATTTATAGTTTACCTAATGCAGAATTTCATGAGGAACTGTTTAGTTACAAAATAAAGCGATTTCTCAAGGATCTAAAGCATATTTTGCTCAAATTAGTAATATTCACGTTTGTATCATAAATACATGATTCATTCATAGAACGGAGACTCATGTAAAATTTCTCATACTAAGACATTTCCAACTGAAAACTATGTCAATCGATTATTCATCCTATAGTCTTTCTCTGATAGAAGTTTCAGTCCGAATGGTTGAGGTATTACTGAATAATGACGTAAATATTGCTCTAAATGAACATTAAAAAAAACATATAGTTATATTACCATTGCTGTTCACTTCTGCTCATGGTTTTCTTAATATTTTGAGGAAGGAAGACAATAACATGGGTTTTTGATTGATTTTGAAAACTTGAAGGAAGGGCTACAAAATCAGATACTTTTAATTTTTTAGAAGTTGCCCCTTATTAAGCAAGACAATTTGAATTTCATTTAGACATCATCATATTTTTGAATTTTTCACCATTGTTTTAACGTAATTTGATTGAAAAAAAGTAGGCATTGCGTGAAAAACTAATAACATATCTATTCTTTAATCGTTCTAGACTCTTCTATTACTCTCTAGCGCTCATCAAATGATCATCGCTTAGCGATTTAACAACTGAAGAAGTTCCCTTGTGAGCCCTCTTCAGCCATTCTCTGGCTCGGGCACTATTTCATAATCATACAAACAGGAAGCGTACAAATCACCATTAATGAGTGGAAAAATACATACAATTAACTCTTTTGCCATAATTGTATAATTCGATGATGTTTCTATTTTATTAGAAGGATCCATTGGGTTATTTTTTATCTATTAGTCTTAGCCTTCAAAATCCTTCGATGAGAACGATTTGCTAGTCATACGAAATATTGAAAAATACCAGATTCAAGATCTCGTTAAGCGAGAGAATAGTTTTCGAAAGGAACGATTGATTATTCTCAAGAATCCTAAAATTCACTACTTGGACCAATAAATATTAAATTCTTATTTTCGAGTTGAAATTCTGATATAAATGAATTAGAGAAACAGTTTAAGAACCGTACTCGTCGACATAAAAATATCAAACTCTTGGATTTCAATTATCCCAAATTAATTATTTCAATGTAAATCGTTTCCATAGTTTTTCCAAAACCAATATCATTTTCCTCTTTTCATTTTGAATTAATAACAACAAAACAGAATCGATTACAAAATCAAACAAGAGTTTTAATTTTGTCTAGCGTTTTTTTTTTCTTAATACGTTTTTTTTTTTAAGTGTATGAGAATTACACACAAATACATATAACATCAAAGAAGAAGAAGAAGCAAACAAAAAGATTAAACAGTTATGAATTAGTATATAAATTGTTATCAATGTCGAGATTTTTTTTCTTTTCGACTACTTTCACTACGGCGATGACGTCCTTTTGAATGCGAACGTGAACGTGATCGTGAACGTTTACGTGAATCTTTTTTTCTACGATGATGATCACGAGAACGTGAACGACGTTTTCGATCACGTGATGATCTTGATCGACTACGTTTTTTTGATCTATTTATACATAGAAAAATCGAAAATATTGATATATTTATTATAAGAAATAAAAAAAAAATGACCTTGAACGACGTTTAGGTGATCGGGTTGATTTTGAAGATTTTTTACGTGATTTCGATCTTGATGATGAACGATGTCGTGAACGTGATGAATGACGACCATTTTCACGATGATTGTCACTTTCCTCAGCAGCTGGAGAATCTTTATGAGCTGATGCACTAAAAATAAACAATAAGATTCTTCTCAAATAATTAAAAAAAAAAGAAGCAATCAGTAAGCATTTCATTGAAGTTCGGTAATCTATATTTCGACGATATTTTGAGATAATACCTACAATATCTTTCTCTATACGATGTATATTCAAAAAGCAAAAGAAAAAAAAAATGGTTACCGAAATGAAGATTATCGAAAGAAATTCGATGATCTTTCTTTTCGACAATAAGGTACACAATCAAAACAAAAAAACAAAACAAACCTTCGAGAACGTGATCGACTAAATGGCATATCTTCTTCATCTAAAAATCAAAAGTTCTTTTTTTTTCAAAAAAAAAAAAAAAAATATTTTTTTTTTTGTCTTACCACTTCTCATTCCACGGACAGTTGCTGGCTTAATAATACAAGAAGTTGCATGATTAACTCTACAAATTTAAATTATATTTCTTTTTTTTGTTATGTTTTAAAATTTAACATACAATAATGGTCGTCCAAAAAATTGAAAACCATTTATTGATAAAACTTTTGGTATTGATGGTTGTTCACTAAATTCAACATAAGCACCTCGTATTTCAACATTTTCATCAATATAAGCCGCTCGAATAAATCGTATTTCACCAATTTGTGATAAAAATTCATGTAAAATATCCAAACCAATCTAATTAAAATAATTAATAGAAAAGAAGAAGAAAAAAAATCCATATAACAAATGAAATCAACTTACATTTTTATCTAAATTTGATAAATAAACTGTACGTCGAATTTCTTCAACTTTTGTAACATCTAATGTTCCTGGTAATGGTGGATATGGTGGTAAATTTCTATCAGTTAATTCAGGATCAACTGTTTCAATATATGAAGGATTCAATGGTTGACCAACAAGTCGATTAATAACTGTACTTGGCCATGTTGGACCACCAGTAAGTAATGTTATATTTGGATTAAGTGGTGCACAATAAATCATTGCATCGGTTTCATCTGGTAAACTATTTTCAAAAACTTGTGTAACTATTAATGGTTTATCAATAAATATTGTATTTGTCATATTTAATGCAGCATGAACACTATCAATACGTTCATATTTGATATAGCCAACTTTTGCATTAATTGTTGATGTTAATGTATCACTATGAAAAGTGAAAAGTTATTTTTTGTCGAAGGTATTTAAAATTATAGAATAGTTTTGTAGTGAATAAACATGTTGAGATTAACTATTGGAAATAGTAATCAGAAATTTGTAAAGTATGTTTATGATTTTTTTTTTCAGATTAGTATCTTATTTCGAAATATTTGATTAAGAATTATTCATAAATTGAGGATTTTTTGATAAATAGAGAAAGAAATGATTGTGTTTCTGTGATATATTTCAGATCAACAAATTATATAAGATTTTTATTTTATAATAAAATTATTCTGACTTAGAGATCTAAAAAACCAAGCTTTTACTCATGCTCTTGTGAAAATTGTCTTCCAACATATCTGTGTAAAATATCTAATTTCTTGTTATTTGATTTTCCTATGAGGAAACCTGCTCAAACGTCCCACTACGATTACAATGGTTTTTTTTTTACCTATTGAGATTTGATTAGGCTATTGAATTTTTAATATGTCAATTTTCTCGAAAAACTCGTATATTCGAATTTTCATCTGAAAGCATTGCGAATACTAAGAACTCAACAAGACTAGCTTCTAGAAGAAAATTCATAACTTTTGAACAAAGTCTCTTCAAGATATGAGACTTTCGAAGTCTAGACTCTTTCCCATGAATAATGTATATAACATGCATTTTTTTTATACAAACTAGTCTAGTTGAGCTCTCTATATGCACTAAGTTTCAGATCAAAATTCGATAGCTTAGTCAAATTCTTTTAGGATTTTTATTAGAACACTGTATAGTATCTCTAGGCAAAAAAAAATCATTGAAATTGGAGGTAGATATCTGAAGAAATTCTCTCGTTAGTCTACAAATACAACTCTTCTACATGAAGATTATTCATTTCATACAAGAAATCTATCATTATATAATTTTGATTGTCGAATAAAAGTCGAGAACTCTATATTAATAAAATATCCTATGTTTATCTTTTCTCAATCTTTATTAAATATAAATTTATTCGAATTACTCACCTATCTGGATACAATTGAACATCATCGATTCGTCCAAAAAAAGCAAACAATGCCTTTAATTGATCTCTTTGACATGTTGTTGATACATTACAAACTTGAACAACTTTACTATGAGAAACAATGGTGGACATCTAGAAAAAAAAAACGAATTTATTATTTTTATATTAATAAAACTTTCATTAAAAAATTTTTATTTTTATTTATAGATATAAAATAAAATTTTTGAAATAAAAGATTCAATCTATAATGTTTCTTTTTTTTTTCATTTGACATCATATAAAATGATAAGTCAAGATAGATGATAGATATAATTGAACCATTGAACGAATAATTATTTCTATTTGAAAAGAATAGATATTTTTTGTTAACAAAAATAAATTCACATACTTCATAGTTAAAAAGTCATCTAATCAAATAATTCATATATATTCAACAAAATATTGTACTGACAAAGTTTCCAATAATAATAATCAAATTGAATAAAAATTCATTTTTATATGATAATCATTGAATAATTTTTTCTAACAAAGTATTTTGCTTTTGAATGTTACATTTTCAACTATAAGAAAGGTTTCTTGAAAATTAAAAAAAAAACACAAAATTGAAGATTTCATCTTTGATCTAGTTCAATGACAAAATTTTTTTTACGTATTCGGCTTTAATAAAAAAAAAAATTGAAAGTTTTAATTGTATACACTAGCTTTGTAATATATGATACGAAAAAAAATCTAAAAACAAGATCTAAAGAATATTTCATAGTTCTCAAAATTTATCTCTTCAATTTAATTGAAACATCATTCAAAACTTTCTGATAAAAATCAAACGTCTTCAAGATGTTTTGTTACTAAATTGTACTGAATTTTAAAGTATTATACTTAATAATAAAATCTCTTGCAAAATCGAATGCAATTCAAATGCATCAGTGTTATATAATCCACGAAAGCATATCATTTTGTTTAGAAATATATGTGAAAAAGATTTCCTAAATACATCCGAGAAATATTTTCGATATTCTTATAGATATTTTGAGCTATTACTATAATTCATGATTAAAGACGAATGTTGTAAATAAGGTGATGAGAAAAAGTTTAACAACAACGAAATTTTTTTTCCTATAATAATATTAAGCAATTAGCTCAAATCTAGATAGTGATTTTAATAAGCAATGAAGTTTTGTATGTAATGCATTCTATACTAAGATTTCTCAAAAAATCGGACACCATAGTTTGCAGATCTCAGAAGATTTTCTCGAAGCCATTTTAACTGAACAAGATAAGAAATCGCCATATTTTCTACAACATTTCCTTAACAAATTATAAGTATCACAAAAAACCGTAAAAAAACGAAATTTATTAAGAAAAATTAAAAATATGTTGTTGGTAAACATTGTTCCATCACCTTCTTATATTTTGAAATTACAACTTCTCAAGAAAAAACTAAAAATACAATTGTAATTTCACTAGTTTTAAGTTATTTCAACTGAAATAACTTAAAACTAAAAAATGAAATATTACTTGATTATATCCATTATTTTCCATTTGTTTAACATCAGAATAATCAGTTAAATAATTATCAACACTAAAAAAACATTCAGTCTTTATATAAAAGTGTTAGAAACAATGCTATGCAAACGAAAGCAAGACGCGAACGAGAAGAACAAGTGGCGTTTTATTGTGATTGAAGAAAAATATTCAACCAATGATTAAATTTATTGTTAGATGACAGTAATTTTTTGCAAGAATTTTCTTTCTTTTAGTTTTACTTATCGTAAATATGTATACAAATAATGATATTGATACATTTCTTAAAAAATTAATCGATAGCCAAAATCAAATATCACAAAATGGTGAAGAAAAACTAAATTTAATTTTGATTTTAATTTAAAAGATTTTTTTCTCCATTGTAACATTTAGCTAACGAAACACAAACATCAATTGTTCAATTGAGATCAGAAATCGATAAAAATATATTAAAAGATTTAATTAATCAAAAAATTGATTATCGACATAAAGTAATTCGACTTTTAGCTGAAATTTGTAAAGATGGTGAGAGAAAAAAAAATATTGATTTATTTAATTTTTTTTTTTCATCTATTGTTTTTTTAGAATCTCAACGACATGAATGTGTAAAATTAGATTTTATATCTTGTTTAAAAGATCCTTTACAATCTGGTACTATTCAAGAAAAAATTGAATCATGTCGTGCAATAGGAAACATGTGTTATGAAAATGGTTTGAAGATTTTTATTCAAAATTTTTTTTTTTTTTTTTCTTGTCAAAATATATTCAGTTAATTTTTCTTTTAGCTGATGGTTGTGATTTAGTATTTAATATAATTGGTATAAATACTTTATTTGATGTATGTCGATATGCATGTGAAACAAATGAAAATGAAAGTGAACAATTACGAATGATGACATTAGGTGCATTACATAATATTATTAATTCAAATGGTAAAAAAAAAATAATTAATAAAAAATAAATTTGATATGTATTTCCTTGGTTTTTTTTTTAATTTAGAAACAGTTGCAGAATCAATATTAAAAGAAAATTTATTTCAAATATTTCTTCTTTATATACCTTTTTTATCGGAATCAAAAATCATATTATTTCTATTTTCAATTTGTTCTAATATGAACGATCATGATACAAGTATGAATATATTTTTTTTATATACACTCATTATATAAAAGAGTAATCTCTACATCATTTCCTAAACAAAAATTTGATATGAAAAGAATTAATTATTCTAAAATATTTTCAAGTACATTCTTCACACCAAAATATAAGATTAAACAATAGAATTTTCCTTTATAAAATTCCATATTTTCTAAATTTAGAATGTGAACATCTTGTTTCGAGTCATTTATTATCTGCAATTGGAAATCAAATAACTGAATCAAATATATATGATAATCGTACTGTTATTTTACCTTATTTACTCGAAGCATGTGAAGAAGGTATAGTTTTTTTTTTAATTTTATTTAAACTAAAAAAACAAAAAAGATCTTCTTTTTCTTTCTTATTCAGATAGTGTAAAAGAAGAATTATGTTCATCATTATTTTATTATAAATTAATTAATTTATGTGAACAATATGTTGGACAAGATGAAGAATTTCTTCGTGAAACATGTTATTTACTTGTTGTTCTTATAACGACAGGTTTTTATATTTTAAAAAATATTTCTTGAAAATTTTTTTTGTCTTGTTGTTTTTGTTTTTTTTTTTTAGATAAATCAATTGATCATTTATTAACTTCTAATAAATATGATTTACTTGAATATGGTATATCATGGTTAGAAAAATCAAATTTACAATTAAAAATGACCGGTGCATTAATAATAACAAATTTAACACGAAATGATCAATCAGCAATAAGTATATTATCAGATAAACGTAAACCAGATATAAAATTAGTTGAACAATTAAAATATTTTTCAATACAATTACAAAATAAATTTGAATTAATGACAGATGAACAAGCAAAAGCTGCACATGGAATTTTAGGTGCATTAAGAAATCTCGCTGTTCCAAGTAATAAACCAAAAAAAAAAAAAAAAATCTTAATCTTCTTCTTTGTTTTTTCGTTTTAGCTACAAATCGACATTTATTAGTAGATAATGATGTTCTTGATAATGTAATTCCATATATATTTATAAAAAATTTTGGTGGTGAAATAGCTTATAAAGGTAAAGACATTCATTTTGTTATTATTGATATATTTCAATAATTTGGTTTTGTTTTTCAGCAACTGGTGTTATTCGTTTTCTTCTTCGTGATGCAAAAGAAACATCAAAATTAGCAATTGTAGATGATCAAATTTTAAAACAAATTGTTCTTAATAGTAGTGCTCTGCATGCAGGTTTACAATGTAAGTTCTTTTTTTTTGTTTCATTCAAATAAAAATGATATTAAAAAAAAAAACAAACAAACTTTTAGTTGAATCTCGTCGTGTTTTATTTTTATTACCAATTGCATTAAAAACGATTGAAGCTATTGAAGCACTTGCACGAAATGATGTTTTTCCACTTATTACTTCAACATTGGCTTCATGTGATGTACAAACAAATCGTGGAATTATTCAAAATGAAGCACTTATTGCACTTAATATTATTTTAATGTTAGCTAATGGTTAGTTACATGTATTTGTTTTTATTTATTTATTTATTTATTTATTTATTTTTTGTAGCATTTATTTGTGAGAAATTAAAAGAAGCAAATTGTCATGAAAATGTTAAAGAATTTTTAAAACAAGAAATTCAATATTCAGAGATAGTTAATAATGTTCTTCAATTAATTCATTTAATTAAAAAACAAAGTAAAGATTAGATTGATTTTTTTTTTATTAGTATTATTTGAACGAAGTTATTTTGTATTTAGATAATTTTCTTACAATAGAACAATTACATGAATATAAACCATTACTTGAAAATATTCGTATTAGTCAAAATTGTGGTGGTCGAAGACTTATTGATCGAACATTGGCTATTATACAGAACGAACTCGAATAATTCTTTTTTTTTTTTTTTGTTTCTTCTCATTTTAAAAATACGAAAGACAAAATTTTACATAATGTTTCATTGTAGAAAATTCTTTGATTTTGATGTTTTTTGATTTCTTTTTTATTATTTCAACCTTGAAATTTTGATTGGAAAAATTCGAATAACGATCTTAAAATACTTTTAAAAAAGGAGATCTAAAAATGAATTGGTAAATCTATCAGAACTAGATTTCAAATGAAATTTGTCGATTTTATACAATCTAGAAATTTTCATTTTCTCATTATTAATGCATATCACGGACATGCACCGTGCCTAAAAAAAGATGAAGAGATGATCAATACTAGAAAGCCTTTTTGGCAAGTGGCATCCTTCTTACGTAACGAAGCGTGGCCACGTCTAACAGTAACCCGAGAGATTTTTTTCCGTATATTTGCGATGCTATAATATTTCTTAATAAAAAGTATTGCATTTTTTTTCAACACTCGTGCACGAACACCTATATAAATTTGAAAATACCGCGAAAGACGATTGAATTAGGCAAGATATAACCAGATGCATATGAGTATATACATAATCATAGGATGTTCAATTCAGTTTTGACATATTTTTGTAGTTAAATTTGCACACATTTAAGTTTAAGACAAATTTAAATACTATGCTCATCACATAGAAATTCACTCAGTTTTGACTTACGAGGGAATATTCCTAAGTGTCACATCGCTTTTGAGCCAAGCGTATGTGCATCATGTAGACCCTAATGATCTATGAATACTCTGAAAAAAGTTTGTGCCGCTTGCTTATTACCCGCGAGATATTGCATTTTTACTGTATGTATAAGCAAAAAGCCGTGGTCCCCCTCAGGAACACTAGGAAAATTGAGTTTCGAATTTCAACTTGAAACTTTGCACAAGAACAGGTCTCAATGAGAAAAGTTTATTGTGAAAGTTTCAGATCTTTTGATTGTTCTTAGTCTGAAATAAGAACATCGGAATCTGCCGGTGTATATAAGCTATTTTACCATAGCTGTATCTTAGGACAGGAACAACGAAAAGATCTAAAACTTTTACAATAAACTATTCTCACTGAGGCCTATCTCTATGCAAAGTTTCAAGTCGAAATTCGAAACTTATTTTTTCTAGTGTTCCTGAGAGGGATCACAGCTTTTTTTCTTAAACATACAGTAAAAATACAATGTCTCGGCAGTAATAAGCAAGCGGCACGAACTTTTTTCAGAGTATCCATAAATCATTAGGGTCTACATGATGCACATACGCTCGACTCAAAAGCGATGTGACACTTGGGAATGTTCCCTCGTTAGATTGATTTGTTATCAGGATAAGTTTTAATCGAAATTCATTACGATTTAACAGAAGAGTTTAAGAAATAAGCATGAAAATGAAGTAATAAAACAAACAATATTTAATAAAGAATGAGTCTATCAACGATTAAATCCTTTCTCCCAACTTTTCAGTATTTACTGTACGTTCCTTTTTAAACAAGTTGCTAGCAATAGACTTTAACACCTAGTATGATAGAGCTGTGCCTGTCAAAATATGATTTATACTTGCTGTTAAAGTCCGAAGCGCTCTCGTGGGAGCGATTAGGTGTGGTGCATGTCTCTAACTCATATTCATTTGAATACACTTCAAATATTGATATCTTTTGAAGGAATTAAAGAACTGGATTTTGTAGACAAGTCGATATCTTCAATAGTAAAGCGAATCAGATAAAACAATCCATCTATAAGATCTTGTACGATTCTTATGAGATCATATGAGAACTTATTTTTCAATCTTCTATGATCATACAAGATCATATAAAAACCGTATATCAGCTCGGAGGTTTTTATAAGCCAGTGAAAAGCAGAGACTATCCTCATATTATTTCATAATGTATAAGGGTGACAAAAAAATATCAACGAATAATGACAAGAATTTTTCAAATATTCTTTAAATAATTATCCATTAGGATCAAATGTCTTAGCTAAAAATATAAAACACAGAACATCTGAAGAAAAGCAGAAAAAAATAGAAAAAGCAGAAAGGACAGAAAGAAAGCAGAAAAACTTTCAAACAGCAGGATTTTTCTGCTAAAAGCAGAAGAGGTGGCAACCCTGTAGAGGAGCCACACTGAAACCTGAACAAATTGCTATTTATCAACATATGGCCAATAAAGAAGACGAATATGGTTCCACTGCAAACATTTTCATCCTGTAGTCGTAATCGTCAAAAAGCAGAAAAATTTGGAAGTACTCTATTTATCATGAATGTTGATGTGGCTTTTATGGCTGATGTTAGTCAGTTGTTCGAATATCCTAATGAAGAAGAAGAACTTATTGCACCAGGTGTTTGCTTTCGTGTTGAATTTGATTGTAAGAAAAACAAACATTTGATTTACTTGAAATTAAGACAAAGATTTAATGGTAAGAAAAAGAAATTTTCTTCTTAATTATTTTTCTTAGTTGATTGTAAAGCGGGAATCGTCAGAAATAATACCATATTGTTTGAATTCATATTGGACTCACAGGGAGATCTCAGTAGCACTAGCAAAAACCTAAAAGATTTTGACTTAATAAACCTTTGGATTGAGTTATAGCCTTTTAACAGAACTTTTGATCAATTTTGACATATTCACGAAAAAAATAAAATAATGAAGTTTAACTTGAAATTTTGTTCATAGATAGATCTAGGGGTGGCACTTTAACTTTAAAAATACTTTAATAAAGTATTAAAGTTTAAAGTAAAACACTTTAAACTTTAAACTTTAATTAAAGCGAAATACTTTAATAGAATTTCTTTCGTTTTCGTAAAGAATTTCATCCTTTAAATACTCTCATTGACTAATTTCTTTCCTTCTCCCTAAAATAATGTTTTAATAGTATTATTTTATTATTTTCATTTTGAAACACTACTTTGGTAAATTTCATTTTTCCTAATTGCTTAACATATAAACTAGACGATAAAAGTTTAAAAGCTTTTGTTTTATGGTGTTTTTCGGTTTTGTAAAAAAGGAAGGGGATAGTTCGTCCACAAAACGGCCCTAAATGATTATCCCCACTAATATCATTCGTATATTAGATTATACGTTTTTTCTGTAAGATTACACTACTCTCGACTCAAATTTGTTTTTTTCTATGACGCTTAAGTGTAGTTGAGGTATGCTGTGATCGAGAGTGAAGGTCAAATAAATCTTTTCAGTCCTTATCCTTCTATTCAAGACAGTTACAGACATGATTCAATGGATTTTTTGTGACTATACTATTCTTGAGTAAATAATAACGGATTTTATTGAAGGATGTTTTGTCAATGTAAGAAAAACTGACAACAAAATACTACAGATGAGACTTCTTGTCTTTATTCTAATCAACTATAATGTGCATTATTTCTATGATCAGCCTCACTTTTTTAGAGTCGTTTGAATACGGAAAAAAAACTTACTGAAATTAGAAGCCGAGATACAAATTATATCAATTAGGAAAAGTAGAATCATTAAACACAAGTTCATGAAGACCAAAATTTCGTAGTACAGATTGTTCGTTTCTAATACTTGTATATATATTTCCAAAAGAAGACAAACAGTCAACCAAGAAAAGAAAATTTAGAAAAGTAAAACTAGAGTAGTTATTAAAGATACCGCACACATTCTCTAGCAGTGGCTTTAAGCATTATTTTTTGATTGCTTTTTCAATGTGCTGCAGTGATGATGATTTTGTGAATAATCATATACGGTAATCATACCAGCAGCTGCCTACCCTTTTCATTCTTTCATTGGTTGTGAATGCCTGCCTTTGTGTTTTGTCTTTCTTCGTATAATGACACCTTCGATCAGAACGAGGAGAATAATCCCATGATCACGAAAAGTGAAAGAAAGGAGAGACAAAAAAAAATGAAGCACAAGACAGAACATAAAAAAATATGCATTTTTCTCTGCATAGTAATAATTTTTTCACCGTATAGATTTGACGATTACAGGCAACATGGACCAAACAAAGCAAACGACAGTAAGCGTCTGTACTGACTAGTAGAAAGAGCCGAAATATTTTCCTAACTTTTAGATGGTTCTTCCAGAAATAAATCAAATTTTACATTGACATTAGCCCAATCTAGTACAGCTTTATCAACAACTATTATTGAGGCCAAAAAAGAACATAGGGATGTTGAGACATGTTGAATTTCATTGGTTCGACAACTGAGCAATCAAATGAATTCCTTGATAAACATTTTCAAAACGAAATTCTGAAGCCATTTAATGTGATTTTGACTTGTATAATGCCAACATTTCACTGGAAAAAAATTCTCTTTTGATTTACGTAAGACAAGACTTCTACCTTGTTTTCTACAGGTGTAAATGCACCTTTTTAATTCTATTCAATTTCTTTTACTTCAGCTTCTTCCTAAACTCTGCTAAATCAGCCTGTCATACTATGTATAAATCATCTTCTTTCTACTTGTTGTTGTTCTTTTCTAGCATAGCTGAACTCGATTCGACCTTGGTTTAGTGTCATCATGTCTCATATAGCCAGAACTTCTAGTTCCAGCAAGTCAGAGTCAATCGATAAGCTGGTACAAAAGATTGAATCAATTGGTTTTTTTTTTTCAAAATATAATTTCATTCCGAAAAGGCTAATTTCCACACCGAGTACCTCAACTTCTAAACAATTGAATTTCTTCGGTGCAATCTGAATGAGATAAGCATGATCGTAGCTGTAAAAAATAACTTACTATTTGTTTGTTGGAACAACATATGAAATCAATCCATTTCATTGATAAATTTATATCTACGATAACTTTTCACACGAACTCTGAATTTGTTTTTTGACGCCAGTAGTTCGAGGTGAGGTCAATATTGATTGCTTGGTTTTTATGGTAGATTAGAAAATAGAATTACTCGAGATTGTGACGAATTTAATGTATGATTATATGGAATCTTCCATGCTAAGTCTTTTCAAACTCAGAAGCTTTTAAAAATTGTTTCTTTTCTTCTCAGAGAAGATAATAGTTCCTCTCCTCGCTGACTTGTAGGTGAAATGGAGTCTAAAGTCTCGAGTGTCTCATTATCTTCCTGCACATTAGTCCTGCATACTGAGAGAGAACTCTGTGATCGATTGCTATGTAGGTTTCTACTCATTTTCAACAAAACTAACTTTTTTCGAGCGTTTTTTGAGGCATACGGCTAGCATTCAGCAACTCTGCTCGATGACATTCTTTTTTCAATGTAATAGAGCAATATACAACTCTACAAATCGGAGTTACAGTCTTACTGAATAGTTAGGAAAATGAAGATTTTTTTTGGAAAAATTCAACTACTATTTTTGTTTGTCAAGATAAATTACATTTAAATTCACATTGATAAAGAATTTGAGCTTTCTTGAAGCATTATTTCAATCGATTGCAATTATTGCATAGGACCAGCAATCAAAGCAACGGGTAATAATCGTGCATGGTAGTGCGATGACATCTGGGATTATTAACCGACATTGGTATAAATGGTTACAAGCAGAATTAGTGAAATTAGGCTTTGATGCAATCGCACCAGCATTACCGGATGAGAAAGAAGCAAAAGATTCCATATGGATACCATTCCTATTAAATAATATAGGTGTAGCAGAAGTGAGTCAAATAAAATCATTTATGACTATGAATCGTGTATAATTGCATCATTGCTTATAGAATGATATTTTAATTGGACATAGTTCTGGCGCCATGGCCATTCTACGGGTATGTGAACAAGTGAAAGTCAAAGGACTAATACTAGTATCAGCTGGCTATTATGATCATGACGTAGATCAACTATGGAATTGGAATAAAATAAAGGCAAATGCACAATGGATTGAGCAATTTCATAGTTCTGATGATCCATTCACACCAGTTAATAGTAGTCGTCATATAGCCAAAGAAGTACAAAGTACATATCATGAATTCAATGATCGAAATCATTTTTTATGTACTGAATTTCCAGATTTAATCGATGTAATAAAATATCGATGTGGATTATCCTAAATAACAAAAATAAAGAAATTTTTATAATATAGTTTTATGTAATTTTCATAAAAATCTTCGATAAAATCCTACATCTAAGTGACTAGCACTCTTGGAGTATTCTGTAAAATTATAGTAGAAGTCTTAAGATTTTTTTTTATTAAAATCACGCATCAAATATGTATATAAGTTGAAGCATTAAAAATTATTTATAACAAAAAAGAACTAATAAACCGAAAGAAATTGATATTGGCATCACATCTACATCTGCAATGTGGACATGAAAATTGTTTGAATCGATTGAGCGGTATTCGAAGAATTCTGTTGATAAATCTTCTCGAAAGAACATATCGGTTCGTTTAAGAATCAGTAATGACTAAGAACAGCTTTTTGAAAAAAGAAACTTAGATTTAAGTTATTCCTATTGAAAGATTTGTAGCAGTATGAAAAACTAACTGATTTGCTACTACTGTAATCAATACTATTATTTGAGTTCTAATTTTCAAATAAACAGCACTGTTCATGCTGTTGTATGATGATTTGTTAGTGTTCATCGATGACATTGACGATGCTATTGATTTCACTGCTCGAGAAATATTGGTTGAGACCAATTGATGTATGCAACAGTTATTGTGCAATGGATAAGAGATCTGTTTGATGCTGCTTAGATTAGCTATGAATGATTTGTTCGAGCAAACAATTAGCATAAATTTTGATGATTTATCCTCATTTCTGCAATCCAGACTTTAGTAAATTGATATTAAAAAACTTATACTTGTTCCATAATTGTTTATTTTAGGATTTCTACCCTTTAAGAATTTAGTCGCTTCCAAAATTCTGAGCATTTTCGAACATCTATAATTCCTGATTGTTGATACATCCAAGGTTTCGATAACTCTAGAACTGGATCAATTGCAGAATATTGTATATTGCAGAATTCCAGCAAAGTTAACAACAACGGAAATTCGAGAATTCTAATCAAAATTTCAAAGCCTTGAAGTAGAGTCGCTACTATTCAATGAAAAAGAGCTTCAAAATGTTTTCTCACTGTTATTGTTACTCGCTAAACTAATATCAGCAGGAAAGACAAAATTTACTATGTTCTCAATTAACATACTGGGTTCGTATTTCATTCAAGAGTTGTTGATTAAAGTGAAAGAAGCAAAATATTATCCATCAAAGTTTGATAATATTCTTACTTTGCATACAATATATTTCGCAGTTTGAAATGCAAAAAAAAAAGCAGTTGTATATCAACTGTTGTATGTCAATCAATGTTCACGCAAGTGAATATTACATTCTCTACTTTTTGCTTTATGATTTAATCAGTAAAAGTGTATTGACTGAGCAGTTATATTCAATTCATCATTCACCTCCTCTTCTCTCACAGTTTATCCCTCATCTGACACGTTCACATTCTATATCATAACACTCACGTTCAAAATTCAGTAAAATATAAAAATCAATATGCAAGACAAATCTTTGGAAAAACATCAAATGTATTTTTTTATTTGCAAGAGCAAAGTTGAAAGAATATAACAAAGGAACAGAATTAAAACATTCATGCTTATTTATTTTTACAGAATTCAGCTTCGACAAGACAAATGCTCAAAATAATTTTGTTATTGCAATATTAAAATACGTAAAATTCTTGACTCGAAATTTTAAATATTTGCTTTAGAAAGGATTTTTATCCTTTATAAAAAACTCCTACCTTTATATAACGTATCATAAATCACCGAAATTCTTTCCAAATGTTAAAAAACCCAGTTTTTTTTATATCAAATGAAAACATGATTCTATACAATAAAACTTACATAAACAAACAAGATGATTCATTGAATGAAATTTATTTCTATGAGATAAAAAAGTATCATTATGAAAATATGTCTTCAATCATACATAACCAATCATTTCTGTTTTGACGAACACACATACCTGCAAAAATTAAGACAATCATTCTTTGTTGAATAAGCTACATAAATATATCTTAGCACAGATACATCAAATAACAAAATTTACGATTTAAATAATTGTCATATTTTCTTAACACCGATGAATATCATTATCGAAATGATATGTCTATAATTTGAGATAAACAATATCTTTCAAATATTTAATGTTTGTACAGGCAAAAATTTACTAATGATACTAATAAAAAAAGAAATTCTCAATTAATAACGTTTATTGACGAATAGAAATATACATATTGCCTCTTGTACCAAGGATACTTGATATTTTCTTTTGGTATTAGTATACTGTATAATTAATTTTTAATCAACGAAAAATTGCTATTTTTCGATGTGAACAACATCATCATTTTTTATGTTCCAATAATTTTACACTATGCTTGGCAATTAATCGGTTTCTAAAAGGCAGAGTATTTTTTTCGTGTTAGTTCAATTATTTTTCTTTGTATGATTCTAAGGTCATCAAGATAAAATCCAAAAAAAGAATACATTTTATGCAAATTTATTTATTTTTCTTTTTAAACAACATACGTATGGATAATAAAAAAAATGAAATATATATGTTTTTTTAAATATTTTTTCTGTTTCAATAAAAAATTAGTGTTTGTAACAATATCACCATTAAAAATATAACTGATGTTGAATAAATCGCATTACCATGATTATTTGGTGGTAAAAATGGTTTAATACCATTAAGATCTTTTTGTAATTTGTCTTTAATATCTTTAAATATTTGTGATTGACTACAATCATTTCCATTACACTTAAGATCAATTTCAACAATTTCTAATTGTTTTTTATTTATATAATAAACAGCAGTAATTACTATCTCTGGTACCTGCATTACTGGACCAATACTCGTATCATCTGAACAAAATGATTCATAACAAAATTGAGTCGTTTCAGCTTTTTCAAATGTTTCACCCATAATACATGAACCTTGACATTCTTTTATATTACATTTATTTATATTTATCAAATTTGCTGCATCATCACATATAGTTTCACCTTCACAGTCACGACATGATGTCGTAATTTTGTCTGGTTTACGTAGAAGATTTCCATCAAGCCAATCATTAGGTAACATTAATGATAAACCATTTGAAGGTAATTGTTTTATTAAATCAGCTTGATTGCATCGATCTGTTTGGCATGCATAAGTTATTTGATTTGATTTAGTGTACCAACCTCGAATTAATCCATTATAAGAAATCGTCTCTTGTACTGATATATAATGTGGATCGTATATGTAATATCTTGTAGAATTTCTTGGAATATGTTTTATTTCAATATTGATTGCATTTGATAAACTTTCTCGTAGAAGAATACAATATGAAGTTTCGTTATCAATATTAATTACATTGTCACATGTGCATGATGTTATATCATCACAATTATTACATTGAAAACAAACAAGTGCTGATGTTAATTGAGCAGAAAGGAGAGAAATAAATAGAATTACGCAAAAATTTGAAAAAATATTAGTCGACATTGTTGATATATTTATTTAAACGTGAAACAAAATGAAAATAATAATAGTTAGGTAGATTTTAAAGAGTGATAATAAATGATAAGAATAACAAGTGTTTAGAAGTTGATAACAAAGTCTTACGATAAGTCAGAAAGAAAAGAAAAAAGAAAAGTAACCTTTTTTTTTCATTAGAGTAATTCGAGATCAATTTATTACAGGCGTTTGTTTTGGATAGATTTACTATAACAAAACAAAAAAAAATTAATTATCGTATTTTAATTTCATTAATTAAAATGGATCCTTTCATCAATTTAATTCAATGATTTTGATTAAAGATCATTTTCATTAGATTTGCTTGATTAAAATGTCTATTTTCCGTCAATGATATTGATATACATCTATTTTAATATTTGGTGCATCATTCATAGGCAGTTACATTTGCAACTATTTCTACGAGAAATCTCGAGAATATGCTATTCTTGAAAATTTCGTAATATATATATTTCATTTTTCGAAAGATGACTTTTCGTTAAATATCTTTCTGAAATTCATTCAACTTCAGACACTCAAAAAACGAGACAAAGTGTTTAAATACCAAATGCAAACAATAATATTAAATGTTAGCTAATCTCAAAATAGCATAGAACACATATCAAAAAGAATAAGTCATGATTTACTCATGGATAGAATATAATATATGACAGTAATTAAAACGTATTTTAAATGACATACATTTATAAAACTCGATGTGTTGTATTTAATCATGCTTAACAATCATTTTTAATAATTGAGAAATTATACGCGATTTACTCATGAAAATGGAGCTTTTGACACGGAACATTTTCGCGAGGCATGGTAGCATGGAAAATGTTGAAATTTGTTTCAAAATGAAGAAAAATCTTTTATCTAGAAATTGTTGGAACAGTTTTTTGAAATTCATCTTTGTTCAATAGTAGTGATCATTTGAAACTGAAAATTGAAAAAATTATTGTGATCTTTTTTCAAAGATTTTCAAATATCTGAACAACAGAGATATATTTTAGAAATCTATTCCAACAATTTCTAGAGAAAAGTCTCATCTTTTGAATAAAAAAAATATTAGCAGCGTACGTCAAACATTGGACTGAGAAAATCTTCCATAGTGATCAGTAAACAATAAAAAAGTGAAGCTGAAAAAAATGAATAACAACATTGCGAAGTAGTTGATGCTGTTTCTGTGTAGGAAATTAGAGAATGCTATATATCATTGAAAAGTGTGTAAAAAGCTCGTGCAGTTGATGATGTTTTCAAGAAAAAACTAAGCTAATTTCTAAATCCAAGTTTACTGTGGCGCCACCTTTACGAAAAATAATCTAATTTTGAAACTTCCTTCTCTAACTACAACAATCAGAACATGATTACTTGATACGTCGATGGTTTTATATTGCTGATAAAGAAGATGGAACGATATTAATTAACGGTAACTAAGAAAAAAAAATCAGCACAACAGTCGATTTTCCACTATGACTTCCAATAGATGTCCCAGAATTTGGCAAAATATGTTCCATTCTTATATAATTTATACATATTCTGAACGAGGATACTCAGGGCTGCTAAAATATGTGTTTTTTCAAAAGTCGACTTTCGGAGGGGAGGCGGCTTCCTCCTTAAAGTTGTTTACATCGTCACATTAAAAATAATATAAAATTAGCGTGATCATCATAATAGGTGTAAAGAATCTAACTTATATTTTTCCATTTGTTTCAGTCCGTAAAGTATTCAACTGTGTCATATGACAACATGTTTGTTTAATATTTTTTTCTATATTTTGTACATTTGGCAACGATAGATACACGTCCTTTTTCATCCTTTTCTCTTTCGAGAGTAGGTGCACAAGCATTTGTTTATAGTCTTACCTTGACGTTAATCATATCCCCTTGCTTGAATGAAGCAAAAAAACGAATAATAATTATTGTTTTCATAAGAAAACTTCCCAATCAAACTTGCAGTCTAATAACTCATTTATCACGTCTATGGCAAATAATAATCAACAAACGACAGATGGAAATAATAATACAGCAACTATATACAATTTCGAAGATATGATCACGTACATTCTTAAAAATCCTAATGTTGTTGTAGTTGGTACTCATTAACATCTTATTCATTACCAGTGCCTTCAACAGCTTAATGCTCCATTTGAATCATCTACATTTCAAACGTCCAATCTAAACTTGGATTCTTGTACAAATACTAACGCACATACATTAAAATAACAACGTGTTTTATCGAATGAAAAACAAGAAAAAGAATTGTAAAAAACCCTTATCCATGCCTCCGAACTGCTCAAATATATCCAATAATAATCTTCAACAAGCTCAAATCTAACAAAAAGATTTAGAACAGCAATAATGTAGTCTTCCAATTGAACAAATGAAACATATTGTTTCAAGTAATTTATCATGCTTATTGAATATGATTCAGCGTTGAACTAGAAGAACCGATCATCCGAGATATCAGTAGCTAGCACAAGTGAAGAGTATTTCAAATAACAAGAAATCTCAATCAATTTCTTATTCATCGATGATACAGGTAATGAACTAAAATGAAGAGTAAACAACAAAGAGTCGTACACAACATTAATTTTTATTAAGAAATGATCGTCCCAAATTAAGGTCATCAACACCACAATGATTAAGTCGAAATTTGTTCCTAGTCTTTTGTTCATGTTAACCATTATCTATCCTTTCAGTACACTGACAAATATGTCGAAGAAGATATTAAATATAATCTTCAATTAGCTGAAGATGTCATACGTATTTAATATGGCTTCCAATGAAGCATAAATGACTTTCGATTTATACTGTTAAAGATCTTCGTGAATATAACGCATCGTTAAAATTAGGCTAAATTTCGATTGAAAATGTATTCTGTACTATTAAACTCTGTCTGGCTGGTAATCAAATGACATACTACTCAGTGAAAAATGTTCCTAAAAATACCGATAGAGAAGGCGTTCCGCTTTTCGAAAGTTTTTTTTTCTTCTTAAAGAAGTTTTCCACTTTTTCAAAACGTGTTCTTGATCATTCCGATTGAGAACGGCAAAAAATACATTCCAGAGTTTCTATAACATTTTTTTTTCTTAAAAAAGGCCTGTCATGTTTTCAGAACACGTGTTTCAGCTGTTTGCTGTCGAAGATGATACCTGTACTATCTATCTCGTCTATCTACCTATCCTAGCTATCTTGCCTATCCTATCTATCTACCAATCATGAAGAACAGATGATTTACACAAAAGAAATACAACGTTTAAATAAAATAATTCTTATTATTCGTTGATCAGATCTAATCTTCTAAATAAAATAAAATGAAGATTTTTTAAATAAGATAATACTTACTTTTAACTGCAAATAACATGATCTACATATAAAAGAGAATAAATATTTATTTTTATGTATTAATACTAATTGTTGAAGTTTGTGAGAACATCAGCGATTAATCGTGATATATTTCAGTATTCGAAAAATCATTGATCAATCCCAATTAATTGGCTATGTTTTTGTTCAATCACGATTAATCGTCTAAATTGATGTGATTTTGATGACATTAATAGTCTTTTGTATTGATCACGACACATTTTATTTTAGTGTAAACCCGTTTATAATGAAGCGGAACGGTAAAGAATGGTTTCCTTCGCATGTAAAACGCATTCTTCCCAGTAAAAATACATTCTCCAAAATATAGAACGCATTTTCATGGACAAGGTAACTTTTCATGTTTTGATGAACGCATCTAATTCCTTGTTTTTTTCAAGAACATTTTTCACTGGGTGTACTCGTTGCCAGTATTTAGGTCATATGAGAGATAAATACGATCTGGAACATGCCCGTTGCTGATCAGTCTTGGTAATATTATTGATGATCAAATATATGATTGTTTGAACATGGTTTGTTGTGCTTAATGGAATAGTCAGTATCATTCGTTATCTTGTACATGTGAACAACTGATTAAATATCGATCTGATTTAAAACAAAAAAGATAATAAAGCAATATCTGTAGGAAAACTACATCGATTAGTGCCTCAATATTGTGTACAGACAGTGTAATTTCATACGAAGCAAAACGAATTTCCGCCATTGTCATTGCTAATATCTCATGCTACTCCCAATCGAGAGTAACTTCATCACAACTATCTGCGCCAACTAATATGAATGGAAGTGAATATACAACAAAGGTGTAAGTGTCGACGAATCAGAATATTTTATATACGAAGAAGAATACTCAATAAATGGACGAAAAATTACATAGTACAAATGCAAAGATCAATCAAACAACTTTTGTTACCATATACCAATACATAATACTAGTACAACGACTAACTACATCTGAATTGTTAGTTAGAAGTTTTATCTGGCCAATGATCAGTATTAATATTGCTGATTTAAAGAATCACAACAGTCAAAATTGCAAAAAACTATTCAATAATTTGAATCCATTATTATCTCATCTAAAATTCGACTATATGCCTCCATAGAAGCACATTACATCGCCGTTTCCATGTCTCTCATCGTTTCAATCGTCCAAAAACACACTGACAAGACTTTGAAGAATAATCTTAATCACAATATAAGAAAATAGATGAGTATTACGTTTTTTTAATTTGATGAAAGATATCAAATCATTTTCCCATATCTAAACAGCTATTCCTAAAGTGACGGCGATGAAACAGTTTTGTCAATGAGGATTCTAGACAAAAGACTAGAAACTAGTGGAGAAAATTCCAGCAGAATGATTTACGGCAGGTATTTTAGAAAATATTCTCAAACAGTAGGAAAATATTTCTTCTAAAAAATTACAAAAGAACAAGCCTTTTTGAATATTCTCTCTGCTATGAAACTTAAGAGTAGGATGCCCAAATTTTGTAATTAGATAATTGATATTTTTTATAAAATAGATGTCTCTATTTATGTTTTTACTGAAGTTGGTGAACTGTGAAATACATTTTGATTACCTACTTTCAATACCTTTCATCAACATAGAAC